TTTAGCCTCGTTTCTCATAACAAGCAACGCCAATTGCTTTTCTCTTGTTAAGGAACACAATCATGAAATATGTTTCCATCGTTTTCCATTACACTTTTTTCGTTAAATTCAAAGACCGGATAAACGCATCATATCGTACTCCGGTAAACTTCTAATTTTTCTCATTCGCAATCTATCCAATTCAGAGCGGCCGACCTAATCTCTTTTTCATCTATTTCTATCCATGCCCCGTTATTAGAGAAAATGCTCTGAACTGCTGTGTTCAATACATATTAGTTAAGATTGCTCGAGTCATTTTTTTTTTAATACATATTTGAAAATATTGTAGATATTATTTTATTGAAAATCATCAGGTCCAGAGACGAGAGCCACGTGAGCTTGTCGGCATTCAAACTGACTATTTCACAATAATATGTCGACGGGTTTTAATTAAATTCCAGACAAATTTATAATTCAACCGTAGAACCAACACCGACAATTACCAGTAAAGCAACGACCCTTCAGGCGTCATAGCCAGATTTCGTATAAGCTAAGATACAGGACATATACCTACCTACATCAATGTCAATGCAAAACGCTCGTTATTGTTATTATAAACGCGTGACATCGTATTTTACAATTTATACTTATTAATTATTATTATAACGCGGTCGACGCCAAAGTTCAAACCGGCAACAACTGGAAATTGTATAATTGTTGACCACTTCAAGGTATTTAAAAATAGTCTTATAACATTTATTTTTTACAAAATAACCGAGCATGTTAGGAACTTTATACTTAAACTTCAATTTTAACCATATAACTGTTTTATTTGAGACAGTTCCTTAGTATATTTTACATTTTTCTAACGTTTCGGATATATTATTTATTATTAATACCTGTTTCAAGGCTTTGACGCCTTTTCTATTTGCCCATTAGCTCAATCGAATATTTTTTTATAACCTTTATTAATAAAATATGATTGCTCAAGGATATTTATAATTATAAACAATTAAATAAGTAGAATTGCTTAGTTATGACTTAGTGTTTTTTTTTGCATGTATACATGATTTAATTTTTATATTAATTGTTTTTAATCTTAATACATCGCTATTAATTTCACTATAAATGCGTTAATACTTGATAGCCAACAGCTAATACCGCAATAATATACATTGTATGACTTAACAGGTTGAGAATATTGTGATAGATTTGGGGTGAACATTTGTCTGACAATGATTTATTGTTATTATGGGTGATTATAATTTTACGGAGTGAGCTGCAATGACTAACGACATTAGCTAAGTATTATAGTGTTTTCAGTGTTTGCTTCAAAAAAAAAAAAACAAAAATTTGTGTAAAATATGCTACTAAAAATCATGAAAATATATCATAGTAAAAATGTATAAATGATATCTTTGTTCAGGTCTTAGATAGTGTAGTGAGTAGTCTATCAATATAAAATAAAATATAGTAAGTAAACGGTCAGCTGTGGTATCAAACCTATTCATCATAATTCGGACCGGAAAAAGTTTTAAGTAGGACGTTATTTACTTGGAAACAATGAAAGTGAATTTAGTTGTGAGATATAAACAAGTGATGAATGAATAAAAATAATTTAGTTACTTAACAAAGAAACCAAATGGCGGCGACGTCTCGAAAGCGAAAAAACATAGGTATAATTAAATGACAACTCGGTCGAGCGCATTATCTATTGTAAATTCGAGGGTGTTCTCATTATCTTCCTACCTATTGTCTTTAGTTCTCACTTACCTACCGTGAAAACATATAGCTAATTATGCACATTCATCGACTTAGCATTCAGCATTGAAGGGGAACAGAGGAGTTCCCATGTTTTTACTATATAAGTATTTAATTTGGCTTCGGTGCAAAAAAAAAAGCCAGCATAGTGAGTACATTTCTATTATGACTTTATGTTTATTGAAATTGTACTTTTGAGGACTAAAATATTGGACCATGCATCGTTTTTGGTAAATATGAACTTTAAAAGTCACATCCCTAGTATATATACTTCTATTTCATTGATTTAAGTTGAAAACCTCTGTTGATAAAGTTGACTAATAATAAAAATAAGATAGTCTGGCTAACGCTAATTTTAACATTTTGTTTACCTGATAAAAAAAAAACACTGAAAGTTTATAATTACAAAATGTAACAACGAATGCGCTAAACGTATCCGACTGGGTAATCCTAGTTTATACAAGATGTTTTCTATTCTTAAAAGATGTTAAGTTCATTCACCCAAACGTTTAGTACATAATGGTCACATTCCAAAGCGTATTTAGAAATCTTATTTCAGAAAGCACACAACACAACAATACTGTGTCTTTATCTTTAAATTCTAACAATAATTCGGTTAAGTTTTTGTGGTTATCAGCCAGTCAAAATGTTAAGTACATTATTCTAAATTTAAAAAGATAATGATATATATGCGTTCCCATTTAAGTTTCAAAAGTTGCTATAAAAAAAAACCAAGTTGGGAGGGAGGTAAAAACAAATTAAATTGTGAAAAATTGATATCACAATGTACAAAAACAACATGAAAAGAACATGAAATTTCTTATTAAACGCTATGAGCCTGTATTTATATAATATTTCAAACGGTTACTGCAAAACTGGATAAATATAGATATATATATATATATATATACTTTTTATATTTGCTTCAACGTTCTCGGAAATTTAATTATTTTGTTTTAACTAACTTTCTTCAGAATTTGCTGATTTTTATTTAAATAATAATAAATGAACACAAATTGATTATGATGAAATATTTTATAGTTGAAAACAATTCTTTTCAAATCAACGAAATTCAACATCCAATTGTTTTAAATAAATTACCATATTTAATTTAATAAATGTAAATAATATAAAATAAATATTTGCATTGGTAGTATAGGAGGTATATATATGTATTATTTTGTTCATTATTAATTCAACGTACTTTTATACACAATTTGTTTTATTTATTAATAACGATAATGACGTTCTCGTCAAGTATAAAATATTATCAACAAGTAGAAAATTATGAAAAACTAACGTTTATAAGATGTTATTTATCAGATAATATAAGTGTCTCTTAATCATTCGAAAACAAGTATTATAACTGTCCAATCCATACAGTTCAGTACATATAATAAACAGTTTTAAAGTGTTTAAATTTTGAAATGTTTATTTCAATACTTAGCAGCTGCCTGGGAATTACCGTATGGGATTAGCTCGTGCCTCGTGTGGCACGGGGAGACGTATAATTTAAATTCGACAGCACAACATGTGTGTCATGTGTTAATATTCGTTTGAAAATCCGATTATAATAATATATGGAAAAGTTCGTTAAATCTAAACCTCGTTAATTGTGTTTTGTGCACTATACAGACATATGGATTATTATTTTATTATTATTATTATGTTGTGTATACACCTTCGGGTTACCTGTAAGCTCACGAATAGTGCGGATTGTGCACAAATGTAAAATTTCTATTGAAAACCGCACACGTGCCGGATTTCGACTGGCAAATAGATTCACCGTACAAATAATACAATAATATGCATTGTTATTATTCACGACACAACGACTGTACACCTACATCGTAGATATGTAATACACACGTAATACAATTCGGGTACACAACAATTTTGCCAATTTTGATAACAGAATAGTAGCGTCACAGTTATTCAAATAACGCGCATTATTCAAAGTTGGACTGGCGATAAACAAAATAACAAAAACAACTTAAACAAGTTACCGAAAATAAAAAAAAAAAAACAGAAAACTTTTTGATAAAAATTGTAATGTACAGTGTGCGATATTAATTTGTAGCCCCTCCCTTCTTCTTCATCCTAGTTAGACCTAAAGAATAATCGTTAATAATATAACCCCTGGCCGCCACTACCACGTCTTCCCATAGTACTTTGACTTTATTATTTGTATTAATTCATTTCGAACTGAAGAGTACGCAAATGGTATGTAATTCATATGATATTCGAATTTCTTACTTTGCCAGTTTCTCATTCTATTTCAATAAAAAAAAAAATTAAAATTTCTTGAGAGCTCAACTCTTCTGTAACCAGTAACGAGGAAAAGTTTCCAATTCGAAGTAAATTCAGGAAAGCAAATAGCGAATAACCGATTTTATTTGAACGGTTCAATTTTGAAAAAAATATTCAAATGTTCAAAACATTACAATGAAAATTCTACAAAACGACGTTAGCTATATAACATTGGAAGTAATTAAAAAAAAAACTAGCCATACTAGGGAAATTCTGAGGCCAACTTCAGATTCAGTGAAAAATTTAAGCATTTTGGTTTTTGTTCCAAACGAGGTCAAATTTGGTTGGGTGATTAACAAAAACATTGTTAAGCTAATTGAAATAAATGTTTAATTTAAAAATTACAAAGCTTCGTTGTACGTCAAAGTGTTGTTTTGGAAAAATTGTTTGTATAATTTTGATAAATAATGTTATTAAATTGATTGTTTTTGTACTGGAAGTAAACCTTTTCATTAGCGCGACTTCACATTTTTCTAAAATTAATTAACTAATACCTTATTAAATTTATTATAAAAAAAATTATTACTTAAATAAACTCTCAATCAACACATTTTTGTTTTGTATCTAACAATAAGTTAGTTATATGCTCACTATAATATTTAACATAATATGGGTTTACGTATACCCATTTAATTCTAATAGCATGAAGCCAACAATGTAACTATTTGTTTACTGACCTGTATAGATTAAAAAAAACAATCTTTTAATTCTAAACCAATAAATATTTTATTGGACTTATAACTTCGTTTTGACGATTCCTAAAAAACCCCAAATTTGTTTAATTAAATTTACTGGGTTATAATTTAGTATAATAATATAATCTCTTGGTGGAAATTTCAGTTGCTTTAGGTTCAATATTTAAAACACGTTTGAATTTACAGAAAAAATAAAACATCAACAATGAGTATAAATATGGCGACCAGAAGGTTAAAACAATAGCGTTTACTTACCTAGCATCTGTGGTATAGGCCTTGTAGTCCATAAAATATTATAATTTGCGACGGGTATTAAATTAATATCGAGTTAAAAAGCAGAGCACGTTAAAGGCAAAATAGGTACGTGAGCCCCTTATGGATTGTCTCGGGTTAAAAAAAAAATTATATATATATATATATAATATACACATTTACTAATACTGCAAAATTATGTAAACACAGTGTGTTTCGACCAAACGTACCTTGCGGTTCGGCCCAAAACTGTTTACCCGCATGAAATACACTGCTGCTATATTATGTAGGTGTGTTTGATTTAACAAAATGTGTTTGAATTCAAGACACTCAGTTTTTTTTTTTTTTTGAATTGTCGAAAAATAAATTTAACAATAATGACACACTTATCAAAAGCTTGAAAACGTTTCCATTCGTTCAACTGTTTTTTTATCTGACGTTGATTGGCGTACACCCACATAATATTATGATAACACCACAATATATTAATATCAAATCATACAAAAAAACATTCAGCACATTTTAAAGTACACCATAGACTGATAGCAATATTAGTAATATAGAAAAATTATGTAGATATTTATTGAGATATTACTTATATTATGAACAAAATGTATTACACAATATAGGCCTCAAACTGATACCAAACGCTATCGGTTAGTGTCGTATGATAACAACAAATTAATTTTCTTTTTGTCTCATACTTTGATTAATACGCCTTATATATATACATTTTTAATGCATTATAAACAAAAACTAATTCGTTCGCGTTGGTCAATTGAAAAACTCTAGTAAGTGATTATCGTTTCTCGTCCAAAAAAAAAAGTATGTAATATATTAATTTATTTAACTGGAGAATCCATGAAGAAAATTTAACAGAAACAAAAAACAAATGTCGCCATCGAACAACCCAGATTTTGTAAACAGCCATTGTTTTTTTAACTGAACGACCCCACTATCAGTACAAAGTGTCTTATTGAGTATTTTAGTTTTTTTTTTGGGCAATCTCAAAATACTTCTTTATTTTTTTTGTGGCTGAATTTGTCAGTATTATCGAGGCATAACAATCGTTAACTAAATAATATGTATGTGGTCATTCAAAAATAGAAAAATAGTGGCTGAGTCCTTGCTAAGCGGTCCCAGGTACTATTCGGCAGGTTTGGTCCACCTGCTAGCATTTAGCCAACAGACCAGGAGAAGGTGACTCCTTAGAAACCCAACCACGAGAGGACACTCTAAACCAACAGGTCAACAGTTAATAAAAAACCTAAAAGCTAAAGGACAAATGTAGATCTAGAATAGGGCAGAAACCTTTTACAGTTATCTCAAAAATGTGTAGTCTTACCTTTTGATGGACGACCAACCCTAATCTTATTCACCCAAACAAATACAGTAATTTTAAGTACTTAATTGTCATTACAATGCTTTTATCGGTTTTTTTTGTAGTTTTTACCGCCTAAACTATTCGCATCGAAGCTTTCATTTAAAATTGATTTTATCACTTTCAGTTATAATGTTTAACCTGTGACCTCCCCCACCCCCATAATGATCCGCATCCCCTAGGTCCCACCCCACTGTATTGGCTTTTTAAAAATTACACGGCAATGCAAAATGTTTTTAAATATCAAGCAAACAAACGACATCACACTGAAAGTAAATTACATTTGATTTACATTAGATTATCGACTAATATATTATAACATGCTTGCGCGTGACCACAGTATGGCGTGTGTGTGGCGCTATCAAAAGACGAGCTTGGCGTGTAAAATAAAAATAGTAATTTTACCTTTTTTTGGTCTGGTCGAGTGGTGATTTGGTTGAGTCGAGTTGTTTCCTTAAACAACGTGCGTGCTCGCACGTGAGTATGCGATTATACACTGTGGTTCAGATGAACACCGACACTGTCCTTGTGCGATGACGGTGGCGCGTGCTGTGTGCTGGTCGGGAAATTGCCAAATGCAAGACCACCGGCCAAAGGCGAACAGCAATAGCGCTTTTATTGCTATCGATTTTTGAAGAACTGTAAACATCGATTGCAATAGTTGGACGGCAATCGTTCGGCACATATTGGGGTATTATGAATTTTTAATAGTAAAACCCCCCCCCCCCCGTTAAAATACACTGTTTAATTTCGTCGTTTACGGTATACCGTGTTTTGTCGTACCTATTTCAAACATTCGAAAAAACAAATTAAAAAAAAAAAAACACTTTACACACCGCGAAAAGCCAATACGATTAATTTATAATCCGTTAAGGGGATTGCATGCGGTCTATTTTTAAAGAGTTTACACATAGGCAATATTTAAGAAAAAAAAGGTTTTAATAAATACCGACCAACGAGTAAGAACCATTTTAGTGTATTTTTGACCAAAAGGCCAGACAAAATGTCGACTACATAAGATGGTCCAATTTCAATTCTGTTGAGATTCGAGTTCTTTGGCTACTTTACAGTCTTATGTGGGAAACCGATTTTCATTTAAAAATTTCAGTTTCTTGCAAATAACTAAATACAATTTTTAATATTAATGAATTAACTTATGTAATAAACTGTAAAATTCAATATTGTACTAAAAAATGTAAATGTAAATGTAAACTAAAGGCTAATGACCTAGTAGTCGAAGCCATATTTAAATTAAAAAAAAAAAAAAATTTTAATATTAAAACCCAATTTATATCATCTTTAATAAGTCAATTTTTATAATTTATTCACATTTTTTTTATTTGAATTACTTTAAATAAATGTATATGTATTTGTTAGTTGTGTCTATATTATTTACCATTAATTGTATTACATCAACTAATGGTCTCGTTTCTTAAAAACAACATATTAAATAAATTGAAAAATAGCTATACAATTATTTAAAAAAAAAACTTCAAAACCAGCACAGTTTAATTCAAGTACTGTATAAGCTAGCAGTCGAAACCTTCTAGGTAACAATCTATGCCAGTTCATTGTGAACCAGTATCGATCAAGGAAACTACCGAAGTGTATTAGCATCGACTAGATATTGGCATATTACTGTCTAACAGTAGGTTATTTATAACCAAGTACAGAATTTTTCATTCAACCTTATAAATATATTCAAATTAATACCAGAATTACCTTTGGTTTTAATTATTACTGTAAAATTAATAAAAACTTAAATTATTATTCTGAACCTCATTCATTTGTCACTTAAACATGCGTGATATTTTTAGGAACGCAAATAAAATAGTTTCAAATGCAATTAACTTGAGTGGTAAAACAAGTAGAAACATATGATTATATTATTACATCCATCAACGAAACAAAAATGTCCATTTATTACATCTGTACGGTATTTATAGCAATAAGTGTATTATACGATCTATGTGTTCTTTATAAAGAGAAGAAAGAAACTAATTGTGTAAATCCTAAATACCAGTTAATTTGCGCAAACTGACTGCATAAAAATATCATAAATTAGTTCATGCAATTATTTAACTGAACGTGTAAGCGCACCTTAAAAGCGCATTTGTTTTCAAACAATTTAATAACGTGACTGTTATAAGTAGAAATGTTTGTATGTATTAATTACAGGTTTCCATGAATCGGTTTAAAGCCCGGGTAAAATGTAAACCCCTTAGCTTTTATTCCATTCAAACGTTGGAGAACACACATACCCGGTGATTCAGTAAAGATAAAACACTAATTTTCTTCTAAAATAATAAGTTTTTTTTTTTTTAGCATTTTTCAGAGCTCTATAAACTTTTTGATACTCAAACGATAACGTACATATTTCATTAACTTTTGAAATAATGTTGAACATTTTTTAAAAATGTTCGCTAGGTCCAGTTTTGTATAATTACTTTTTAAGTTATTAAATTATAAAACTAAGGACGAGAAGTCGGACGGAGTGTAGTATTATTTTTATATGCGCGCAATACTCTTGCGATAAGTCGATCGCCCTGTATAATAAATCACCACACGAGCAAAACCGATGCTGATATAGATCTCTGGTGTATAATATACATTTCATCCCCTTGCTTCGTTCAAGAGTGTAGAAATCACGTAGTCACCGAAGACTGGCGAAAAATAAGAGAAGCAACACTCACACAATAATGATATTATATCCGTTTCATTAACTCAGACGTGCCCAACAATCAGAAATGTTTTACTGCCGTAAAAAATAAACAGAAAACAATTTAGAAGTCGACACTGGATCCATCGCTTTTTTTTTATTACATCACATCAAGTGACAAACAATATAGGTCTCGGCTTGTATTTCATTATACAGGGTGTTGCACAAGAATTCACTAGTTGAAATATATCCTAAGGAGTTTAGGATTTTTAAATTCTATTTATTTTTCTAAAAAAAAAATCAATAAATCTAAGAATAAAAATAATTTATTTTTATACCATCAGCATTTAAAAACCACACGTGGAGAGGATATGAGGTGAAGTGGTATTATTTGTAAAATTAATACTTTTACGCTAATAACTCCAAAAGTATTTATATTTAAAAAGGTAGAGCATGTATTATTTTTATAGTTAAGGATTTTATATATTCATTTCTTTATTAAAAAAGGTAGTTCTATACAAAAAGTTATTTTGTTTCAAAAAGTAATGAGTTATTACATTTACTTTCTTACTGTGAATTTGTAAGCACTAATTATTTTTTAGTTTAGTATCTAATTATTTTAATAGACAAGTCTAATAAATTAATCTAATCTAATTAATTAAGAGCCTCGTCTAATCAATCTATAATACAGTATTAATTGGCTACTCTTTTTTTTCTAAAATTCAAAACAAAATATATAAAGTTTATAGTGCTGTAAAAACTAATTAAAGATTTCAACTTGCATTACCAATTCGTAAACGAAATAAACTATATTGTTTTATTTAAAATAAACTGGACAAAATAAGTATTGAATATTTTTGTAGAAATATAAGACCTAAGTTTACCTAACCATACCTGACTTTTCAAAACCTAACTTATTAGTAAACGTAACCGTCGAATATCTTTAGTAATAATATGTTAACTTTTTAAATTAAGCTTTTTGTGTGTTTTCAGCAGGTCCGTACCTTAACTGTTTAGTTGACACTTTTTTACACTTAGAACAAAGTTTCAACAATTTTATAATGAGCAAAAGTGTGTATTTTTATTATATTTAATTGATTATTCAGCTACGAAGTAAAATATTTGAACAAATTAAGATATTTGCAA